ATCCAATTCAGATTGGCAGATCTGGTAGGTGGGTTAAAACAGAGGTGAAGGAAAGTGGTGGTGGTGGGTTATAGGCAGCTTACCTGGAATCTTGTTTGAAAAAAAAAATGTAAATCAGTGAAAGCTTTAACCTGCGTAAGAGAACCCGCAAGACTGTTATTATAGCTCTATAGGAAAATAACTGATAACCCACAGAAAGATGATTGGTTGGGAGTTTTTCTCCCAAATGTAACTCTGGACAGAAAGGACCCAATGAAGAGACCAGGAAGGGTGAGAGACCCTTGAAGACTATTTTCTGAAATGTAAAAAAATAACATTGGGGAGGGAAATTTTTTTTAGAATAAATTATAAAAAAAAATGTATTGGCATCTTTTTTTTAAACTCAATTTGCATTATATTCAACTACAAAAAAGTCAGTGGATAGCAATTACCTGTCTTAGTATTCCTCTAAATAGTTTTTCTAGACCTGTTGGTTATAGATCAGGAAGATGTCCTAATGCCTTTCAATACAAATGCCCCAATAGGCTGTAATGAATGTACGTGTAGCTGTGCTACTACATGCAGCAGTATGCCTTCCAACATTATAAAACTGAATATATGAATGACTTTAGGTTCTGCATCTGAACCAGTTAACTGTGTCCTGTTGTGCAGACCCTAACCATACATGAATAATACCACTTCCATATTTGCTAAGCTCTGCCCTTCAATGAGCCCTAATCTGCTAAAACCATGACAAAACAAAATGTTTCATTAAAAATTGCTATTTTGAGTTGAGAAATGAACTAGTAGTTTTGCACCGAGTTTTAGGTATGGCATTAGTCAGAATTTTAATATATTAATTTCTGGTAGCTTCTGATTCTTTCACTGTCCATGACATAAAAGGAAGAATCAAATTTTTCATGGAAAGCCTAGTAAGATCAGCAGGACCATACTATGGCTCCTAGGGGATATTCCAAGAGTAGGGTCCCAGAATGTTGTAAGAAGCCAGCAGATAATTGAATCTACCAGTAGGTATCCAGAAAAAGGATTATATTTGACAGATAATTACAAGAATCAGTAGTACAACTAACACTTCGAAAGTGATTTAGAAAAAAAATATTATTTTATAAATTGAAGGCTTATACAAATATGTTAAAAATTATATAACTAAGGAACATAAATGACTCGTTTTTGCATACTTTGTGTTCTTCAATTTGCTTTTTAAAGGTCTCAAAATCATCCCCATAAGACTTTGTATCCATCTTGCGAAATTCGCTCTTCCGTGACAGTCAACCAGTCAGACAGCTGGTCCAGTTGTTTTCTTTGCAAATCCATCAGCACTTCATGCAGCCTTCCAAGAAGCAAAGTAAAAACAAGTTAAACCAGGTAAAACAAGAATTTTTATAAGATAACATCTCAAAATCTAATTGCATGCTACAGGCAGGATTTTCACCTAGTACCTGGCATGCCCTGTACAATGTGATTTAGTAGTACATTTTCAGTGAACTATGAGAAAAACTAAAGGGACAATAATGCAGATAAAAAATGTAGGTTAGTTACCGGATTAAGTTAGACATTTTCATGCAGTACTAAGGTCTTCCAATGTTACTAAACCAAAACAACAATAAAACAATATTGCATATAACAAAGTATATATAGTAAGAAAACAAAAATCATACTTGTCAATTGTTTATTGACTGTATACTGTTTATATATCACCACTACACACTATCATTTTAAAGCCACATATTGCTTCACCCTGTAGATAAACATTTCCAAACACCTCTGCCATTTCTCAATACAACATGTTATATACACTCATCGGCCACTTTATTAGGTGCGTCTTGCCAGTGCCAAGAAAATATCCCCCACACTATTACACCACCTTCAGCCTAAACCGTTGATACAAGGCAGGATGGATCCATGCTTTCATGTTGTTTATTGCCAATTTCTGACTCTACCATCTGAATGTCACAGCAACCAGTCTGCCCATTCTCCTCTGATTTTTTACATAAACAAGGCATTTTCATCCACACATGCCACTCACTGGATATTTTTCTCTTTTTCGGAGAAAAAGACAGTCGTGTGTGAAAATTCCAGTAAATCAGCATTTTTTTTTAAATATTCACACCTGCCCATCTGGCACCAACAACCATGCCACGTTCAAAGTCACTTAAATCCCCTTTCTTCCCCCATTCTGATGCTTGGTTTGAACATCACCAAGTTTTCTTTACCACATCTAGATGCCTAAATGCATTGAGTTGCTGCCATGTGATTGGCTGATTAGCAATTTGTGTTACCAAGCAATTGATCAGGTGTACCTAATAAAGCTGCCAGTCAGTGTATGTAAGGCAAAAGCAGAAGAAACAATGGAAACACATTCCAGCATTCAGCAGCAGAAGCCTGTTTTGTAAGGTTACCATTTAGATCAGAAAGGATGCAAGAAATACATTATTATACCAAAGAAGGCTTCAGCAGGGCAGTGGGGGACTGCAGATTAGGTAGATAACCACTGAACAGCAATGAGCGGAAGAATTTATTGCTGCCATTGGCTCAAATAAAGAATGTTGCCATTGAACACCAATAAAGGGTAGGGCTTATGCATTGCTGCAAGGAAGGGTGGGGGAGAGTTACTGTCGACACTGACCCTGAACATGTACGGTTGGTGTCAGTGAAGGAGGGGAGGGGCAGTATATATTGTTTCCACTGGCACCCATAAAGAGTAGAGAGTATTTATTGCTGCTACTAAACACCAATGATAGAGGGTATTTATTGCTGACACTTGCACTAAACACTTATAATGGGGAAGGGGGGTTAGTTATAGATGGTGTGTGTCTAGATGTATACTGATCAGCCATAACTTTATGACCACTGACAGGTAAAGTGAACAACATTATCTCATATCTTGTCACAATGGCATCTGAAAGTTAGTGGAATATATTAGGCAGCAAGTAAACATGTTGCCCCTGAAGCTAATTTGTTGGAAGCAGGAAAAAATATGCATAAACTTTCTGGGCTTGGGTAGCTGCACACTGGTCAGGGTGTCCATGCTAATCCATGTACACAGCCAAAAGTTCCTACACTGGGCACATGAGCATCAGAAATTGACAAGGGAGCAATGAAAGAAAGTGGCCTGGTCTGAGTGCATGTGCACCACTAACAGTAGAAGAAGGCAAGCCAAAGGAGGCAGTGTGATGCTTTGGGCAATGTTCTCCTGAAACTTTGGGTCCTGCAATTCATGTGGATATGACTGGTCACATACCACCTACCTAAACATTGTTGCTGACCAAGTACACCCGTTCATGGAAACAGAATTCCCTGATATGGTTCTTTCAGCAAGATATTGCACTCTGCCACAACACAAAAATGGTTCAAGAATGGTTTGAGGAAGACAATAAGGAGTTTGAGGTGTTGACTTGTCTTCAAAATTCTCCAGATCTCAATCCAACTGAGCATCTGTGGCATGTGCTGGAAACACACATCCAATCCATGGAGGCCTACCATGTACTTAAAGGATCTAGTACTGTTAGCTTGGTGCCAAACATACATTCAGAGGTCTAGCAAAATCAATGCCTCCATAGGTCAGGCTTGTTTTAGTGGCAAAAGGGGGACCTACTCAGTACTAAGTGGGTGGTCATAAAGTTATATCTGAGTGGTGTATATACACACTGTGCCACTTTATCAAATCACAGTGTACTAGAAAAAATTCAAGCACTCTAGCCTTTGCTTTTTATATTCTGACTGCCAATGCTAAGTAATCAGCTGTATATCACCAGTTTTTTCACCTTTTCATTTTAATCCTCAATTCTACAGCAGAAAGTTTTATTGTGTTTATTGTGCCCTCCAATCCCTCTTGTATTGAACTGTATTGTTACTGTACTGTCTCCCTCCATAATGTAAAGTGCTGAGCAAACTGTTGGCGCTATATAAGTCCTGTATATAATAATAATAATAATAATAATTGTGTTAGGACTTACAGGGCCTGTTTTGTCCCTTGACACTACATTATAATAAATAACAATGCCCATAGAGAATTTAACATTTCAATATCAAAATAAGCATTGTATATAGCATGCACTGTAATTCCAAGTTCAAGCCTTAACGTTTATAATCACACATATACAAATGCTGGATCAGGAGAGCTGAAAGGAGGGATTAGTATATTCATTATAGCCAGGGAGAGGTAACACAGGGCCTAGATATCATTGTAGGCCAGCGAAAAAGGATTTTCAAAAGAAGAAGCACATGAGAATTGAACATCTCTGCACCTTCAATAAACAACACCTTTGGTCACTATGTCTATCTACTTATTCACATATTATTTGGCTAATTATATTAGCTGAGAAATCATGTCACTAGATTTGGGTGTATATGAGACAATATTATTATTATACAGGATATATATATGTAGAGCAGTGTGCTTGACTGCAGGACAGCGAACAAGGCGAGTGTACAGATATGACAGCACAGATGGCTACAGCATGCACGTTTAGAACAGGCACTATGAACTTCTTTAACCATACATTTATTTTCATTATTCCCACCCTTCACCATTGTACTACCTACAAAAGATGAAAGTTCCCCACTGGAACTGCTACAAGTCTTTTTAAAATCTGAGCAACCCCACTTAAAACCATGGAATAAACACCTTCAAAATTTAGCCTTATATAAGTATAAGTGACAGCAGGATGGCCTTGTCCGTTCCTGTCCATTCAGTTCAATACAGTAAGAACCTAAAGATGTTCTTTACTGGAAGTGACAAGTTCACGGAGAACACAATATTCAGTTTAGTGTGAACTTCTAGTCATTCAACTACCCTCCAAATAGTGAAGAAAAAGAATATACATTATAAGCATTTCTTGATTTTTTTTGTTTTCATCATTTTCTTAAAATGTATGTATGGGTTATGGTATATGAGTGTATGGTATGCTATGTAATGTACTGGAGTGAATACCATATTTGACATATTTCCTGAACAGGTGTCCCACTGGGAGAATTTCCAAATTACTATACCAGACAGAGGTAACCACTGGCATAAAAGTGTCAGGCAACTCAAAGATAACCATCAATATACACTATATTGCCAAAAGTATTGGGACAACCCTCCAAATCATTGGATTCAGGTGTTCCAATCACATCCATGGCCACAGGTGTATAAAATCAAGCACCTAGGCATGCAGACTGCTTCTACAAACATTTGTGAAAGAATGGGCCACTCTCAGGAGCTCAGTGAATTCAAGTGTGGTACTGCGATATGTTGCCACCTGTGCAATAAATCCATCCGTGAAATTTCCTTGTTACTAAATATTCCATATGCATATATTATTCAGCTGTTAGTGGTATTATAACAAAGTGGAAGCACCTAGGAACAACAGCAACTCAGGCCACGTAAAATGACAGAGCGGGGTCAGAGCATGCTATAGTGCACAATGCGCAGAAGTCACCAAGGGGTTTATTTACTAAAGCTGGAGAGTCCAAAATCAGACTCCCTTATGCATAGAAACCAATCAGCTTCTAACCTCAGCTTGTTCAATGAAGCTTTGCCAGTGAAATCTGGAAGCTGATTGGTTTCTATGCAGAAGTGAGTCTGATTTTGCACTCTCCAGCTTTAGTAAATAAACCCCCAACTGTCTGCACAGTCAATAGCTAAAGACCTCCAAACTTTGTGCGGCCTTCAGATTAGCACAACAGTGCTTAGGGAACTTCATGGAATGGGTTTTCATGGCCGAGTAGCTGCATCCAAGCCTTAATCACCATGTACAATGCAAAGCGCCATATGCAGTGGTGTAGCACACTGCCACTGGTCACCAGAGCATTGGAGACGTGTTTTCTGGAGTGACAAATCATGATTCACTGTCTGGCAATCTAATGGACGTGTCTAGGTTTTGCGGTTGCCAGGAGAATGGTAATTGCCTGGCTGCATTGTGCCAAGTGTAAAGTTTGGTGGAGAGGGGATTGTGGTGTGGGGTTATTTTTTAGGGGTTGGGCTTTGCCCTTTGGTTCCAGTGAAGGGAACTCTTAAGGCATCAGCATACCAAGACATTTTGGACAATTTCATGCTCCCAACTTTGTGGGAATAGTTTGGGGATGGCACCTTCCTGTTCCAACATGACTGCACCCCAGGGCACAAAGCAAGGTCCATAAAGACATGAATGAGAGAGTTTGAGGTGGAGGAACTTGAATGGCCTGCACAGAGTCCTGACCTCAACCTGATATAACACCTTTGGGATGAATTAGAGCGGAGATTGTGAGCCAGGTCTTTTCATCTGACATCAGTGCCTGACCTCACAAATGCATTTCTGGAAGAATGGTCAAACATTCCCATAGACACACTCCTAAACCTTGTGGACAGCCTTCCCAGAAGAATTGAAGCTGTTATAGCTGCAAAGGGTGGACCAACTCAATATTGAACCCTATGGACTAAGACTGGGATGCCATCATGTTCATGTGCATTGGCAATATAGTGTATGTTTGTGATACAGTAATATACAGAGATTTGTTAGTTAAAAGCTAATTTTTGTTTCCGTGATATTAAAGCAATACATGGAAAACCATGTGAAAAACCAGTAACAAAAATGTGTGTATATGTAAATTTATACCGTCCTGTATATGACAGTGGCGGCACATAGACAAAGAAACATGCCCGTCTCCCCCTGGATTAACTATAAGCTGTCCAAAAACAGGTTTGGATGTTTTTAAATATTATAAATTATTTAATTAAATATTACAAAAAATGTTACTGTTGTAGCCATAAAAACAATCCTGTACACTAATATAAGAAGAACTGGACTTTAGCTTTTATGTAGAAAACATAACACCGTCATTAAAGTAATATTCAAAGCAATTAAAAAAAATAACAAACATGGCATACTTACCTACTCTGTGCAGTGGTTTTGCACAGAGCAGCCCTGATCTTCCTCTTCTCAGGTCCCCCGCTGGTGCTCCTTGCCCCTTCTTCCTGCCAAGTGCCCCAGAGCAAACAGCTTGCTACGAGGGCAGCCAAGCAGGCTCGCTCCCAAGTCACTGCTCTACAGGTCCATTCACACACACAGCCATGGCTCAGCCCTGCTCCTTCTCTCTTCTCATCGGCTCACTGGCTGTGATTGACAGCTGTCTCAGCAAATGAGGAGGGAGAGTCGCCGAAAAGATAAGGCTCTCGTGCACATTGCGCCATCATGATGGGACTCAGGTCTGAGGCTGACAGGGCTGCTGCACACAGATTTTTTACCTTCATACACAGAATGCATGAAAGTAAAAAGCCTTGGAGAATTTACAACCACTGTAAGACCTTCTGGGAATTCTTTCCAATGGAGTTTCCATGTTTCCGTGCATCAAACATCCAGCAAGCTCCCGTACACATATGAATCCAAACAACAGAAGGGATTGAGCACATATCTTTTTGCTTTGGATAAAGAAAAAACAAGATCTGTGCTCCATACTCTCTGTTTTTGTATATGATCTACCAGGTAACAACCAAAATTTTAAGTAGCTTAACCAACCGAGACTGCCTATCCATGCTTTCTAAGCGGAGAGCTTCCCATCGTGAATTCAGTAGGGTCATTTGCTCTTGAATCTCATTTTCTTCTTCCACCGAGAGATCACCTTGGGCAATCAGTTGATTTCCTGCTTGCAAAACATTGCCCACATGCTCTGATGTGCTGTCAGTTCCATCATAAATGCCTGAGGAAGAAGAAAGCAAATTAAATATTATATGTTTTCCAAATATTGTGCAATGACCACTCATCTTGAAACGTTGAAGTTGATTATAGAGTAGATTTTTTTGCCATTAAAGTAGAACTAAAGGCAAACAATTTTTTCTAATTTTTGATAGAGCAAAAGGAGGGTTATAACCCCTGCCAGGTTTTTCACCATTCCTGTACAATTGGGAAGATTTCTTTTCAGTTCTTGTAGCATAGTCAAAACAGGAAGCTCCAAAGTGAGCGAATCACTGCTTGTCACCAGGGTCAATAGATTTCCCCTATATTACTATTATGGGGGAAAGCCAAAATTTTGGATTTTCTATTACTTTCAGTGATAACAGTAAACAGGACAAACAGAGAGAAAGACTCTACCTAACGGGGGCACAGACAACACAAAACAAAACCTGACACATGTCCTAATCCCTCTCCACTCGAATGAACTAGAAAGATGCTCTGGGAATTCCTGGTTTCTAATTGACAGCCTCATAAGCACTCCAATGAAATGTACCACATTCCTTGTATATATTCAACAACAAAAAAAGGAAACAATCAGCGGGACTTTTTAGATATATGAATAATATCCACTTTATAAATAATAAATTTCAGAATTTTTATTCCGTGCAAGGGAGCTTTGATTTGTAAAAAAGCACATAAAATAGTGCACTATTTAATATACAGTATATTAACCTATATAATCGTATAACAAGGAATACATTGACACTGGGGGTTATTTACTAAATCTGGAGAGTGCAAAATCTAGTGCAACTCTGCATAGCAACCAATCAGCTTCCAGGTTTTATTGCCAAAGCTTGATTGAACAAGCTGAAGTTAGAAGCTCATTGACTACCATGTACAGCTGCACAAGATTCTGAGTGACTAAATTTTAGTAAGTCTCCCCCACTATCTTTATGTTAGGCCTGTACACACCTATACTGTAAAATGTATACAAATCCAAACAGTATAGTTACAATATGTCGACCCCCATTGGGCCAATAAACACCTCAACACATTTTGTGGATAAGCCACTTCTATCATCCAGTCAAGTACAAAGAAATTTTTGTGATTTTATGATTGGATGTTTATAGTGGATACTGGTTCACTTGGCTGTGAACAATATACTCCATCAGTAGGCAAACACCTTGGTACATTAATTTGTCTTAGCATCAGCCATCTTGCAGTTTACTGTACAGTCTGCAGAGAATAGTTAAAAAAGGGGGAGAGAAAAGTGGAACAAGGAGACAGGGGTACTTCAGTGCATGTAGCATGCTGATAGGATGATAGAGCAGAGTGATTGGAAGATAAGCTCAGGGTGGTGCTGGGTAGGGGACCTGTAATTAAAAGTAAACAGAGAAAGACCAGGTCCCTTTTCCTGTTAGACAAAGCTAAGTTGTGTAGCAGAGCTGTGTAAATCTCAGAATGAAATATACAGAATTATTATTACATATAATAAGCTTACATACAGTATGACAAAGTATTGATATTTTGAACATTATTTAAATTCAGAACCACTTAACAAGCAGGATGTTGTAAAACTCAGCTGGCAATTACCCAAGATCATTTTGTCCTCCCTATGTTCTATTATTTTACTAATTGTATATGCCAGCCTTTCTCAACCTTTTTACCCTCCAAAAAGTAGTCAAACCTACTTCATGAGTAGTAAATTGTTGTTTAACTTCTTCTACGTCATCCGATATATCATCTTGTTCCTGAAAAGTGTCTTCTGCCATAAGAAGCCAAGTGAGGACATCTTCAAGGGCTACTTGATAGCTATCAAGATCCATTTCCACTTCATTTACTAAACTTGGTGTCTCAGGACCAGTGTCTCTATATGGTTCATCTAAGACCTACAATAAAAAAAGAAGAATACATCAAAAATTATAAATAGCCTTTATGTCTTTGCCAGACTCATCTTAATTTAGCAGAGATTTTCAATTTTTTTTTTAGGAGATCTCAACCATGCGTTCTGTGTCTGTGAAATACTACTAATAAGGTTGTAATAAGGGAAAGGAGCACCAGGTTATCTTTATCTGTCTCTACTATTAAGAAACGTAGACAAGACTTTTCAACCCTCCTGATCCCTTGTCACGACTGTTTTTTAACATTTTTAAACTTTTTCTAGAATTTATCTTGACTCTCTTAAGTGTTTTTTTTTTTAATATAACAGAACCGACAAGGGCTAAAAGAAAAGGAGGATGCATCTGTCAGATTGGTTAAGGGTCTGATTAATGTATGACACCAACTATGTAAATATATACACTCACCGGCCACTTTATTAGGTACACCTTGCTAGTGCCAAGAAAAAATATATGCCAAACACCATTATACCACCTTCACCAGCCTGAACTATTGATACAAGGCAGCATGGATCCATGTTTTCATGTTGTTTATGCCAAATTATGACCAATATCGCAGCAACCAGTCTGCTCGTTCTCCTCTGACCTCTGACATCAACAAGGCATTTGTGTCCACACAACTGCCACTCACTGAATATTTTCTCTTTTTTGGACCATTCTCTGTAAACCTTAGAGATGGTTTTGTGTGAAAATCCCAGTAGATCAGCAGTTTTATAAATACTCACACACCAGCCCATCTGGCACCAACAATTGATTTGAACTTCAGCAAGTCGCCTTCACCATGTCTAGATGCCTAAATGCATTGAGTTGCTGCCATGTTATTGGCTGATTAGCAATTTGTGTTATTAACCACTTGCCGTCTGCCTGCTGTTTATAAACGGCAGGACGATGGCACTCCAGGGGCGGGTTGCCGTTCATAAACAGCACCCACCATTTCTAGCTGTGCGCGCTCCCTGGGAGCGCACAGCACCACGATCCGGTGCCCGCTGTGTCCTCCGGACACAGTGAAACACCGATCGCCGGACGGGATCCCGATCATGTGATCACTGATTGGCAAATCAGTGATCACATGCAAAGTAGTAAGCAAGATGTCACTTGTGACATCATTGCTTACTACATGTAAAATCTGTGAATGATCACAGAGGTCACATGGTACAAGGCTATTCACAACAGCCTTGTACCATGTGACAAGCTGTGACCAATCACAGCTCACTCAGTATTTCTCAATGGCTGCAAGAATGCAGAGAGAGAAGGAGAAATGATTGCTTTTACATCCTATATGGGTG